TTTTATGTGGCAAAAGGGGCTTTGCCCGTGGGATTAAGTTAAGAATTGTGAACCGGGAAGAGATGCCTGGATTGTCCAGGTGAGTCCAATATAACCACAAGAGGGAGGCAGGAGGGTCAGAACCCACGAAGACGTGGTCAGGGAGCAGAGGTTGGGGCAATGTGATTGCTGGTGGGAGTTGCAAGACAAAGGCTGTGGGCAGTTTGTAGACGCTGGAAAAGGCAAAGAAACAGGTTCTCCGGAGCTTCCAGGAGCGATGTGGTCCTGCCAACGCCTTGGTTTTAGTCCAGTGAAAAGCCATGTTGGACTTCTGACCTCTGGAACTGTGAGGTAATACATTTGAGGTTTTTAAGCAACTAAGTTTGTGGTCCCTTGTTATAACAACAAGAGGAAGTGAATACATCTGACACCTGCCATTAACAGAGGGAGCTCTCTGCCTCAGGAGGGTAATCCCTTTTTCTTGGCCTAAAAGGCATTACATTAGGGAGCATGATGATTTTCAAACATTTAATAGAAAATTTAAAGGAGCAGGGTAGTTGCCTTACTTGAAATCATATGTGGAAGCCCAGTGTGAGGCAGATGAGAGTGGAGCTTTTTGGTGGCTTGGGGCCTGCTGGGCAGGGCTGGCAGAAGGCGTGGACAGGGCTGGAGATATCTGTTGCTATTGACCTTGTCTTTGGGGGAAGGCAGGCATTTGTGTACTTGCTTGGTTGACAGCTTCTGGCACACACCAAAAACTCACTGGAATTGCGTAAAATTTAAGCTGCTATTGTTATAAATGAGCCTTTACATATGGATCTTATCTGGGGTGCTCTACACAACTCGTACGAGTAGACCTCATCTTCAAGGCATGTGCATTTCTTCCAAGATCCTCGTTTCAAGCCCCTACCCTTTGCGAGCCTAAGCCTGGAGGGGATGGTCATCTCTCTCATACAAATAGCCATCAATGCGACACATCTAGAAAGAGCTACAACCAGTTTCCCATTGTTCCTGAAATTAACTTCTCTAGCCTTCCAGATCCCCCAGGTGTCC